ACCGCGTTTATGCACGTTTGCATTTAGAAGCGTTTGTAAAAGATAACCTCAGGAGACCCTCCCAAATGCCCAGAATGCACTGAAAAAATAGTAAATTCACTAAAAAAAAAAAAAAGGCTACTAAAATACTACAGGAGTGATTTTATCAAGTCATGCGGTATTTTAGTAGTGAAAACCATGCGGTAATGTTTCAGCTGTCAGCGGGATTCCCCACTGACAGCTGAATGTAAAAGAAAGAATTACCAGCAATTTAAAAATAATTAAAAACAGCGTGGGGCTCCCCCCTCCCATCCATACCAAGCCCTTCCGTTCTAGTATGGATTTGGATGGACTCCCCCCCAAAGCACCTTCTCCCCATGTTGATGGGGAAATGGGCCTCTTCCCCACAACCCTGGGATGTGGTTGTGGAGGTCTATGGGCAAGGGGGGGGGGGGGCTTATCCGAACCTAGAATCCCCCTTTAGGTCACCGGGTGGCCCTGCCCCTTACATATTTTAGAACTGTCAACCCAGCGTAGAGGCAGACGGCCGGGGGGCCAGCGTTGGGAGCAGAGCCTTTTTATGTTGTTCTCGGAGCGGCGCGGCGGCAGCGGGCATAGTGATTGATGTTGGATCTACTTCGGGGGACATTCTTTTATTTTCCTTCTTTTATTAAGGGACTTGTCAAAGAATGTCTCCTGTTTTTTTTCACATTACAGCTTTATTTTTGTGAATGGGTAGCAGTACCATGTACCCCATACTCCTTCACGTGGGGAAGGGGGGGCGGGATCTGGGGGCCCCCTTATAAAAAGGGGGCTTCCAGATTCCGATAGGCCCCCCACCTCAGAGCCCCACAACAACAGCCCAAAGGCTCCCCCTACCCCAAAGCACCCCCCCATGTTGAGGGCACGTGACCTGGTATGGTTCAGTGGGGGGGTGCCCCCCTTCCTGGCCTGCCGCCCTGCATGCTCGGATAAGGGTCTGGTATGGATTTTGGGGGGGGCCCCACGCCATTTTTTTTTTTTTTTTTCCAAGTTTGGCGTGGGGCTTCCCCTCAAAATCCATACCAGACCCTTATTCCGAGCATTCAAGGGCTTGGTATGGATGGGAGGGGGGACCCCACGCCATTTTTTCATTGCCAGCAATGCTTTTTTTTACATTCAGCTGTCTGTGGGAACCCTGCTGACAGCTGAAAAACATTAATGCATGCTTTTCACTACTAAAATACCGCATGACTTGATAAAATAACATGCGGTATTTTAGTAGCCTTTTTTAGTAGATTCAAATGGGGTTTTTTTTAAAAAATGCTATGCGGTATCCTACCGCATACTCGGATGCGGTAAGATACTGCTTGGTGAATTGTGCCCTGGATATGGACTAGTCAAAAAACACTTCTAAACGCAAATGCTTCTAAACGCAGTTAACTGTGTTTACACGCGTTTGGAACGCCAGTAAAATCTACTTCTGAACGCAATTTTGCTGCGTTAAAAAAAAAAAAAAAATAAAAGACTGTAAACTCAACTGCCTGTAAACGACTATGTGTACATGGACAAATAGGAAAACATTTTGGAGAGTTCAGGGACTGCTGAAAAAAAATGCAGAAAAGCTCCTGAACGTCAGGTTATCAGCTACAGTGTACATGAGCCCTTATAGCGTGTACCACATCCAGAGTATGCAAAGATCTTTCTCTTACTGACTGAGACCTAGTTAAGAATGAAGACAGAACAATGTCCTAATGGAGATGAAAACTATAAACCACATTTGGTAAAATAAAGTCTGTTGAGGTCGCAACACCACCTTATTTTGATGCAAAACCAGAAATGTTTCTCTGCGAGAAAAAGCTACCAGCTTCGACACCCTTTTTGCAGAAGTGATTGCCACTAGAGACAAAACCTTTCGAGTCAACAGGACCAGTGGAATCTCCCTAATAGGTTCAAATGGTGGTTTCTGCAAAACCTCCAAAACAAAGATGAGGTCCCAAGAACATAAAGGTAACCTAACAGGAGAAGCAATATGCATCACTCAATACGCAAAAAAGTATGAACCAAAGAATGAGACACAATGGGCCTCTGGAAAAAAAAAAAAACAGCTAAATGCTGAAACCTGGCCCTTAAATGGTACCAACAGCCAATTTCTTATCCAATCCTGACTGAAGAAACAACAGAATTCTACCAAATCACGTATTTTCGTGGGTGCCATTTCAAGACCTCACACCAGGAAATATAAGCCTTCCAAGTTCTGTAATAAATGTTCCTGGAAACTACCTTTCTAGCGCTCAGCATAATGGGGATGACAGAATCGGATACCTCCCTGCCCTTCAGGATTTGGGTTTCAATAGCCATGCCATCAAATTTAGCGACCCTAAAAGGTGGATGCAGTATAGGTCCTTGAGCCAGCAGGTCTGGCCACCACGGCAGAGACCATGGATCGCCCACTTCCAGTTTTATCATGTCATGTCTCCAGGGCCAGGCCAGGGCAATCAGTATCACAGGAAAGGATTCCACCCGAATCCTGCGTAAGAGACATGGCAGTAGCTGAATCGGAGGAAAAGCATTAGAGGAGCCCGGTTCCAAGGAATCACTAAGGCATCACCAGACACAAAATGGTTGTTTTAGTTGTTGAACCTGGATGCCAACGGATCTACATCAGGGTAACGCCATTTCTGACAGATTGTCGCGAAAACCTCAGGATGCAAAGCCCATTCCCCTGGAACCAATTGTCAGCGACTGAAAAAATCCACTTGCCAATTCCCTACCCCTGGAATGAACACCGCTGACAAACTTGGAACATATCTTTCTGCCCAGGTCAGAATGTAATTCACGTCCTCCTGAGCCCTTCGGCTTCTGGTACCACCCCTGGTGGTGGATGTATGCCACTGCTGTGGCATTGTCGGACTGAATCCTCACTGGCCAACCGTGAAGCCTGGATGTCCAGTATCTCAGAGCAAGCCTCACTGCCCGGAGCTCCAGGACACTGATGGGTAGGACCCTCTCCTGTGGAATCCATGTTTCCTGAACTGTGGCCTCCTCCAGGACAGCCCCCCAACCTGAGAGGCTGGCATCCGTGCTCACTAATTTCAACACCACTGGCTGAAAGGATCTTCCTCTCTCCAAATTCTGAGTCAACCACCAATTCCACCAGAACCTTCTTGTTGCAAACAGTCAGAATGTTCTTTTGTAGCAGTCTGGAGTGGAATTGGATATAGCGAATTGCCTTAATTGTGGACACCATCTTCCCCAGCAACCTCATACAGAGGCGAATTGAAGGATACCTTTTGGCCCTTAAAACTACAAACCTCGTTTCTCAGGGTGCGTTTCCCTGGAGGCAGAAATACCTTTGCCTGAACCATGTCTAGGACCATCTCCAAATACTCCAGGCTCTGTACTGGCTCCAGGGCCGACTTCTTGAATTTGAGCACACATTTGACCCTCCTCCAATTCCTCATCCTCAGGTTCCACCCATTCCTGCTCCAGGATTGGTGGTTCTAGTGACGGGGATTTCTCCCACTTCTTTGTCCCCTGAGAAACAGATGCAATCATTCCTGCAATCTTATCCTCTAAACCCGCTAAGGCTGAAGCAAGATCATCCTTGATTACATATGTCGAGGCAGACGCCCCAGTAGTAGCCACAATGCCATATAAACGCAGTGGCTCAGATTGCCCAGTGGCTTCTAGCCTCTCAGAAGAGGATACTACAGCAGACATCCGGCTAGATTCCTCAGGAACTGGCGGCGGTACATTAGAGCCCCTTCCTGTGCCTCCACCACTCCGTTTTCTGGAAGACATCACTTCACTTAGCGTTAAACCTGTGCACCTTCCAATAGTAAACACAGACCACAAGATACAGCTATGCATGTAGTGTACTGACAAAAAGCACTCGATGCAAATTACTGACTTTACGGGCCGCCAAAGGCAGCCTCCTGACTGTCTAGCCAATGCTCCTTCCCCCTCAGGGGAGAACCCACATGCCCCACCGAATAGCCTGCTCTGTGTCCCGACCCCAGAAATCCACCAGCAGCAGCCAACACGTGCCCAGGCCCCCTGATAAACATAGCTGACTTCCGTTTCCAGACGCTACTGCGCATGCAATCCACTTGCACACCCACACTTCGCCGTGCGTGTGCCCATGGCCACATTCTTTTTTTTTTCCTTAATGATCCCTCTAGTGGTCCACCCAGAACAACAAGCAGGATACATTTTCCCAGGTTAAATGTGAGCACTCCCCCTGGTGGTAGATTGCCCAGGTGCATCAAGAAACTCCTTTATTCCCTCCAAAACCTGTGTTTTTTCTCCTTCTGAGAGAAGAAGAAAAAAAAAAAAAAAAAAGAAGAGGTAGCTTACCAGTCTCGCTGCAGGTCCCTGATTTCAGCCAGGCACCAATCTTCACAAATCACGGCAGGCATTGTCATACAGACACTCAAGAACTCGGTCCCCATAATGTGGGGCCACTGCCTCCGACCTGTATAGCACCCCACTGGAAAGCTCCTTGGTCAGATATATACTGCATGGGGTTCCATTCACGCGGGCCTAGTCCCGTCTGGATGCATTACAGGAAACACTGAAGATCCAGCAAGGCTCAGGTATCATCCATTTTAGCTCACAGCTTTCCAAATGGATCTAATTAAAAACCATTATTCTCCAAGGAACCGTACTAGACCTAAGGTATGGTCCAGGAGCACAAGCAAAACTTTAAGTGACCATCCACCTTACAGACACTGGCGAAAAAAACTGATGTACTTCATGTGTAGGAGGGATTATATAGGGGAGAACTTCCTCTCTGATTGGTCGGCCAGTGTCCATTCACATATAGGTGGCATATAACCCACACGAACAGCCTACTCTGTGTCCCATGATGTACGATAAAGAAAAACTGTTTGCGTTGCATTTAACAGCCAGCTTCTACAATTTTCTGCTCTGCCAGAGAAATCTGAAGAGAGGCCGATGAGTACCTGCTAGGGGCAAAACCCAGTAAGTTCACATGCTTTCAATCATAATCACAAAGTGAGAAACAATGGATTACTCACCACCTAGAATTTGTTGTAACCTCGGGAAGCCGCCCTGTCCTCCCAACATAATTCCTGCCAAAATCCATGTCAGGCCCACTGTGAGGAGAACCACGATAATACGAACAGGACCTGCCAACAACAAGTTAGTCCAGATCAACAACTCCAAACTGCTGCTTCAGCTTGTATATGAGAAGCGGGTATGACAAGATTTTACAAAGCATTTGCAAAGCTTCCCACACGCTTCAAGAAGGTTGGGAATATTAAAATACAGATTTGCTGATTGTACTTTTAAGGCCTCTAGCATACTGTACTGATGTATGATCAGACATCCCTGGCAGAAAAAAAAATGCAAGGATAGGCTGTATAGCACTTGTCCTTATTTGCGCATATGGGCACACAAGTGTAAAATGTCTTCCAGCTTTATTTTAATGAAGCGAATGTGGCATATTTGTGCAAAAATACTGACCAGCAACCTAGATCTCTATATTATTCACTGATCTATATATAACACGTTTACGTATCTATGTGTACACGCACATTGAAAACAACGATTTCATTTAAATCAGTAAATAAATAAGTAAATAAGTAAAAATAACAATAAAAAAATCCTGTATGCCTAAAAGTATTTAGGCAGCAGTGTGCAAGAAGCAAAAGCAAGCTCCAAGCAGGCTTCAGAAGCTTTTTTCTAAAGCTTTAGTTATGATTGAGAGAGCCCATTGTGGTAATGTGTGCTAAAACACAAATTTTAACTGCTGGTGTCACAACACATGGCAATGTACCTACTCTATGCGCGGTGCGTGGTGGTGTAATTTATTTGAAATGGTACCCCTATGCATTCTATATTGAGCCTGAATGCACCACAGCACTTATACATTGTGTTGTGGGGCTCTGCTTTTTAGATAAAATGGTCATGCGTGTTTTTTCATTTGTTGTGGTCCACCGGCAGTATATTATTTATAAACAGCAATGCACATTAATGAGTGCCAAAAAGGTGAATTAACACATTGCAATGGAACAGTTTAGTGTAAACGGGCCCTGAGAGTTATTGAAAGCCTGCAAACAGTTTAAGGTGATAACCATTACCCAGTCATTCACAAGCTGAAGTTGAAGGGAGCTTGAAAGGCTTCAAAAAAAGTTTCTCTTGTATACAAGACTTCACTACCAAGGTAGAGATAAACCCTAGGGCTCAATTCATACTGCCCAGGACAGCTACCCCACACTAAACCACAGCAGTTTAGTGTGCAGCAGCTGTCTGTTCCAGCTGCAATGAGCCAGCGGTGGGGGAACGTGATGCGCATTTCAGTGCATTGTATAGTTCCCCCTTTTTCCCCCTACTTAGCTTTGTCTGACGTGTAAAAATTGGCACTACTGCTGTACAGTGACATACAGTGCCTTGAAAAAGTATTCATACCCCTTGAAATTTTCCACATTTTGTCATGTTACAACCAAACACGTAAATGTCTTTTATTGGGATTTTATGTGATAGACCAACACAAAGTGGCCCATAAGTGGAAGGAAAATGATAAATGGTTTTACATTTTTTTTTATAAATAAATGTGAAAAGTGTGGCATGCATTTGTATTCAACCCCTTTACTCAGATACCCCCAACTAAAATCTAGTGGAACCAAAAGCTGTGAACATCTCATGGAGCACTGTTCAATCCATCATGAGAAAATGGAACGAGTATAGCACAACCTACCAAGACATGGCCATCCACCTAAACTGAAAGGCCGGGCAAGGAGAGCATTAATCAGAGAAGCAGCCAAGAGGCCCATGGTAACTCTGGAAGAGTTGCAGAGATCCACAGCTCAGGTGGGAGAATCTGTCCACAGGACAACTATCGTGTACTACACAAATATGGCCTTTATGGAAGGCCGTTTGCTGTTTGCGAGAAGCCACGTGGGGGACTCCGCAAATATGGGAACAAGGTGCTCTGGTCAGAAGAGACCAAAATTTAACTTTTTGGCCTAAAAACAAAACGCTATGTGTGGCGGAAATCTAACACTGCACATCACCCTGAACACACCATCCACACTGTGAAACATGGTCGTGGCAACATGTTGTGGGGATGCTTTTCTTCAGCAGGGTCAGGGAAGCTGGTCAGAATTGATGGGAAGATGGATGGAGGGAAATACAGGGCAATCTTAGAAAAAAATCTGTTAGAGTTTGCAAAAGACTTGAGACTGGGGAAGAGGTTCACCTTCCAGCAGGACAAATACCCTAAAAATACAGCCAGAGCTACAATGGAATGGTTTAGATCAAGGCATATTCATGTGTTAGAATGGCCCAACTTGAAAATTGCTGTTCACAGACGCTCTCCATCCAATCTGACAGATCTTGAGCTGTTTTGCAAAGAAAAATGGGCAAAAATGTCACCTTCTAGATGTGCAAAGCTGGTAGGAGACATACCCAAAAAGACTTGCAGCTGTAATTGCAGTGAAAGGTGGTTCTACAAAGTATTGACTCGGGGGGCTGAATACAAATGCACACCACATTTTTCAGATAATTGTAAAAATTTTGAAAACCATTTTATCATTTTCCTTCCACTTCACAATTATGTGCCACTTTGTGTTGGTCTATCACTTAAATTCCCAAAAAATAAAATGCATTTACGTGGGCATGGCTTGGCCATGGAAGAGAGAAGACAAACAGCCTGAGAGCTCCCATTTACCCGGAGCTATTTACCGCTTCACAGAGAATGGACGCATGGGGTCCTTGTCCGAAACCTCTCTTTGGTTCGCAGTTGGCACTCTTATGTTGGTTTACTGTTATTTCTCTTTGGATGTTTTATGTATCACTTTTTTCTGATTGATCACAGGTGCAGATGGTGGTTTGTTGTTTTGGGCATGGTAAGTGTTGCCTTTGGTTCATGTGCTGTCCCCTCCCCTGGGCTGGGTCTCCTGGGAAGTGGACCCTAGCCTTCACCCCTGACTGACAGAATGGCGTCTGCATTGTTGGTTTCCTATAATGTCCACAGCATGTGCTCACCATTTAAATGCAGGAGATTGTGGCAGGAACTTCGCCACTTATGCCCGACAATACTGCTACTCCAGGAGACTCCCTGCATGGCGACTTCCACGCCCAACCTCCCACAGTCCATATCTAAAGCAAGGGGGGTGGGGGTGGGGGCAGCGGTCCATAGGTCATGTCCTCTTGTCCCCCTTGCTCAGGTAGCTGACCCGGAAGGTAGGTTCTTAAAAGGCACCATTAACAATGAGGTATTCACTATCAAATCTTATAAAACATAGTGTTACCCTGCACCTTCTGAATGCTGCCAAGAGCTTAATGCCGAGATTCTGGAAATAGTCTCGATGCCCTACTGTTCAGGAGTAGAGGAAAGAGGTTGAAAAGATTTACGAAGCTGAACATTGGGTCCACACAATTAGAAATTATCTTGAGAAATTTCATGATACCGATGCCTGGTCTGGTTGACTGTACTACTCCATGGAACTGGAAAGCCTAGACGACCTTCCCTCTGTAGGCACCTCTAATTCCTAGCCCTTCCCTTAGATTCAGCACATTTGATTAGTGACCCCTTCCACTGAAAAAATGTTGTCCCATGACTGCTGGACTTGATCGCCTTACCGACTAGACAATCCGCAAAGTATCTTCAGGACATCTAATTATTTTTACTGCGCACTTATCCACTGTTTCCCCATGTTACGGATCTCATGCCCTGTGATCATGTTTTGTATTAAGGTGGCCTACTGTGGCCCTTGATATTTTCTTTTACCTTTTTTTTTTGTTTGTTTTTCTTATGTTTGTACCCCGACTCATTTCTGGTGCTCAGTATACTTATTGTTACTCAGAGTGATAGCTCATGGTTTTGTTCTGCATTCATAGTTTATTGGGACACAGCCAGCCTGTCGCCTTGGGGACCACTGCCCATGTGCAGAGACATAGCTGTGTGGTCGCTGGTTCAACTGGTGATGAGATTATGCCAATTCTCACTGCCCTGACGGTGGGCGGGGGTTATGTGGCATGTCTTAGAATGTCTACAACATGTCTGTTTTTCTGCGATTACAATTTTGTTTTTTTTTTCCTTTTCTCTGCTCATCCTATATGTTCCTTTGTGTCCTAGTGGTGACTGGCATTCTTCCAATGCCAGACACCACAATATATGTGATCTGGCCCTAAATGTCTATGGTCCCTCATTTCCCCTGTAGCTGCCGCTGGCTGTTAAAGAACAGCCAGATCACTTGACCAACCCAGAGCGAGAAGAAATAAGTTAAGTATCTCTATCTTTTTTTACACAGGAAGTAGTCTCTAAACTGCAGTCCTTTGCCTGCCTTTATATGGCCCTTGGGGCACTATTCCTCCTTCTGATGCAAGACATTATTCCTCCCACTGACACCAACGATGGGGCACTATTTCTCCCCTTAGTGCCAAAGATGGACTGTTTACGCCCAATGATGCCAGGACAATTTCTACTCCCAATGGCCACAGTAAAGTCTGAAGAAATAGTTGTTAGGAGGGGAGGGAACATTTGTAAGACTAGTTAGGCTTTAGCTGGAAATCTCCTTTAACCACTTCAGTCCCAGTGCGGTTTTAAAACTGTGCTGGGACCTCACCGGGGACACATGCTTTTAAATACACTCTCAGCTGCTATACTGGCTGGGGAAGGGGTTGTTTACATTTATAAAGCTGACTGTTGGTTTGCATGTGGAAGTGATCTAAGTGGCTCTGAAACTGCTGGTCACTCCCGCTATTGGCGAAATGTGACAACACCCCCACTACTACCTCGGCCTGAATACTCATTTGTAGACTTACCTCTGAGGAATGGACCAGGAAGAGACATATATGACATCACTTCCTGGTCAGGCACTGTCAATCACTGAGATCTATGTTCCATAAACTGCAGTGCAGTACAGAGGAGACATCCAGGGTCTAACAGACCCCAGAGCTATTGGTCCTCTATGTGATACCAATAACTATTAAAAGATTTAAACACAATTTATTGTGTTCAAATGCCCTAAAATTAACTTTAGTGTATTTTTTACTAAAATTCTGCATTTCGTAAACTGTTGCACCAACATCACGACACAAAAAATTGAAAACTGAGGGCGCATGTGCGGCCGGCTCCCAAGATGGCCACAATGTAGATCATCACTGCTCCCACCTCCACCAAAACAGCA